GCTGGCAAGTTAGAAATAAGCCCGACAAGCCTTTGCGAGAAGGTGCTCTGGGCACCACGGCTGATGTTCTGACCCGCTACGTGTCCACAGGATAGCCACGGCCCGCGGGCACGGGGAGTGCCGCCGGCGGCTGGCGTCCCGTGGGGCTGACCCTGCTGGGGCAGCAGCTGCGGGGGCGAGGCGTGTGAGGAATGCTGCTCCCCTCCTAGAACTGCAGCAACGCGCCAGCAATGTCAGCCTCAGCACATCTCGCCGCTGACTGCAGGCCCGGATTAGCCGGTGGCTGCGTGGCTGCCCGCAGCGTAGCTACAGCCCAAGCAGTGGCAGCTGCCACCGGGGGGTGCGGGGACTGTCTTAACGGCTCCAGGGTCTAATGAACCCTGCTGTGGGGATCTGGCTTCGTCCTAGGTGGTGAGGGACACCTTGGGTCCTTTCTATGTGCCTCAGTTTCCCTCCCCTTCTCCAGCCTGCTTGGAGTGTGGAAGCATTTTTGGGAGTATGGGGAGGAGCTAGGCTGAACCCCAGGACAAGGAATTGTTTTGTGCACCTAGAGCAGGTACGATACGGATAGCAAAGCCAGCAGACAGCCATGGCAGCAAATGCTGGGATTTATGTACCATAATCCTTTCAATCCAGAGCTTTCCTGCAGGGCAAGGAGTGCAGGACCTACCTGCCCATGGGGCTCTGAGACCTGACAGCTCGCCACATGCCAGGCACTCAGCAGCTGTGAGGAAGGAAAGACTGGCTGGCCACCTCCCAGCTAGGAATGATTTTGCCAAAATCAACCATCCAGGCCTCTCCCTTTCTAGTACATTATGCCAAGCCATCCCTGATTCCTCTCAGCCCCAAACAACAGTGTGGGACACCTTAAGAAAGGGTAGTGAAAACAGCAGGATCTAAAAAATACCCACATCTGCAGAGCCCCAGCTGCTTCACAGGCAGGTGTGCAAACTCGTGCAGTGGGCAGGAGAGGATATGCCGCCCCAGACAGGGAAGATTTTTCTTGACTCCCTAGAAGAAGCTGGAGAAAACAGGAACTGTCAGGCCCTGGAGAGCCTGTTTAAGCCATCTTCCCTGCAAGTTAGAGAGCAAGAGACAAACTGTCTGGGAATGGGGAGCCAGCCTGAAGACTGTTCAGAGGAGACGCTCAGCCCTTCCCAGAACTCAGACCTTTTCTTAAGGAGTTTCAAGTTCAACAGCTGAGGCTAAAAATCACCCCTTGCTTTCAAAAGTCTGTGTTCAATCTATATTTAGCAAAAAAAGAAGAAAACAAACAAACAAACAGATGTAATGGTCACAGTAAATCTCCATCACTAGGATTAACTCCTCAGAGACAGAGCACCTTGGGTGCATGAGGAGCTGTGGTAGATCACCCTGACATAACTGAAGGTCAGTGCTGCTGTGCTGCCCCTGCCATTCCCCTTACAAACCACACCTCGTGCCAGAGAAATCGCGCTTCCTTCCCTCCCACTGAGAATTGACACCTGAGGCTACTTCCTCCCAAAGGTCTCCAAAGCGTAGTCCAGAGACCTGTGTGTTGCCTGAGTGCTGGGAACAGGTCAAGCCAAATCCCCTGCTGGTGAAACCTGAAGGGATTTATTTTCATGGCTCCAATCTCACTGCTAATGTGGAGGAGGGTAGACACCCTGCAGGTTTGACACCCACCTCCTGTCAACATAGGTGACTGGGATTTAGGTTTTGCTGGCCATATGGTTCCAGCAGTTTTGTGGGTCTTTAGGGGTTGCTTTTTTCTTTTTTTTTTTTTTTTTGCAGAGGATGGGCTGCATGACTATCCTCAGCCTCTGAGCACTCACCCTCTCCTGCCTCTGAGGTTGCTCTGTTCTGCAATTCATGCCCACCACCTCCCTCTTTTTGGCCTCGGCAGCCTCCCACAAAGGACAAAAGATCTGGCTGGTACTTTTGAAGTTTGCCTTTCACCTTCGTTCTCTCTCATTTCACTGTTTACACACTGAACGCTCTGTTATTTCGCTCTGCTGCTTAATTCTCTGCCTGCATGTCTCAGTGCAGAGAGAGAGGGGGAATAAGTTGGCAGTGGCCCTTGTGAGACAAGGCTGCTGTCCTTCCCGTGCCCTGTGAAATCACTGCTGCCGCGTCACCACAGTGGAGCCCATTTCAGGCTGATGCTGAGACCTCTTCCCACCACCAAGGCAGAACAAAGCCACGTTCAAATGACTAAATTACAGCCCCATTCTCTTTACAGCCTCATTATACTACCAAGGCTGTGTTCTAGAGGGCATCAATTCAAAGTGAGCATGAACCTGCCTTTCCTCCTGTGCTGCAGCTCTGGCTGAAGGGCAGATGTACCCTTAGGCACCTGACTCACATCCTTAACAGTAGCTGCGCGTGCACCCACCCCCACAAAATACCTGTGGGGGGGCTGAACCTGCCCACCTCTTCCGAAACTTAGAAATGGGACCCCAGCATCATCCTTTGAATGCAAATAGATGTTGGTTATTCTCAGTTCCTAAACATTTGATAACTGGTCCACACACGCGTAGGGCACTTTGGTGAAAGCGATACACCGTCTGTGCAGCAGGGCCTCCTGTGTGTGTCATGTGTAGACAAGCGGTGTTAGAGCCCTGGCACTTGTCAATCCCAGTCTTTGAAAGGACTAAGTACACCTGAAGGGTGTTGATCTGAACCAATTACACCCGTCCTTTCTGCAGCCTCCTGTAGATAATCCCAGAGGCAAGTTATTTGAGTCCCGGCTCCCATGAGTTCACAGGGCAGGCTCTGCGTGTCTGAGAAAAGAGGGAAGGGCTGGGGAAGTCCCAGTGACCTACATGAGCAGACATCTGGAGTAAGGACTTCGGCCTCAGCGTCACAGCTGGGGGCTCAGAGGGGATCGGCTTTTCCTGCTGCAAATGAATAGGGTTGAATTCAGCCAAGATTCTTGGAAAGAGGTGGATTGTAGGATGGTACTGGGAAGAGATAAAAGCCGATTAGAAATGCACAGGGAGGATATACAGATAGACATTATCTGCAAGAGACGTTTCCATGTCTGTCCATAATAGCCCATAGACAGTGGCTGTTGTTACGAGCAGAAATAAGCAATAGGGGCTTCAAGAATAGCAGTGTACAGTGCCTGCCTCCTAGTTCTTGAAGACAAACTCAGGGATAGAAGGAAGAAGGATAGAGGAGGAACTGCAGCCATTGTGCAAGGCCAGAGGGTCGGTTTATCTGTGTCTCTGGTTAGAAAGCTGCTTACAGCATTTTAGTCAGACTCTTTGTTTAAATTCTACTGGAAAATATCATGGGGAATTCCTTCAGTGCTTCCCGAAGCTAGGGAGGAAACATATTACATGGGGTGGAGTCCTTTCAAGGAATCCAAGAGCTCCGACCTCATCACCATCTGCCTTTCCGGCACCTGAGTTACTCAAACTCCACTGCAGACCCAGCCTGCAGTGACCTTGGCTGGAGTCAGATTAAGCAGATTGACGTGGATTTGAGCCTGCTACAGTTCTGTCCTTAGCAGACATGCAAAACCAAATTCTCTCCCATCCCGGTCATCTACATTCCTCATGCTTACTGTGGAAAGATTAGAGTTGCCCTGCTGTAGTAGTGGGATGTGAGGATAGAATTATAGAATCACAGAATGGTCTGGGTTGGAAAGGACCTTAAAGATCATCCAGTCCCAACCCCCTGCCACGGGCAGGGACACCTTCCCCCAGCCCAGGGTGCTCAAACTGGCCTTGAACCCTTCCAGGGAGGGGGCAGCCTCAGCTTCTCTGGGCACCCTGGGCCAGCACCTCACCACCCACACAGCAAAGAATTTATTCTTTATATCTAATCTAAATCTGTCCTCTGTCAGTTTAAAACCATCACCGCTCATCCTATCCCCACACCCCTGATCAAGAATCCCTCCCCACCTTTCCTGTAGCCCCTCTGAAGCACTGGAAGGCTGCTCGAAGGTCACCGGAAAAAGGGAGATCTTGTAAAAGCTGCAAAGTGGCCACTCAGTGATGCTTGAAAGGACAGCCAAGAAGTGCTTCTGTCAGTGAAGGCCAAGCCCTATAGCACTCTCCTCCTTCTTGAAACCTTCCATGAAGCCCTTGGCTGCCGACGGTGTCAGGGGCCTGGGCAGCCACCCGGCAGTGGACGCCTGGCAAGCGGCTGCGCAGACAAACCCCCTGATCTGGGCAGTCCCAGGTGCCCGGATGGCTTCTGCCCATAGCCCCTTCCCAAGGGACGAGGCTCGGCCGCGGGGGAGAGCAGCACACGCACCGTGTCAGGAATCTGGGACTGGATGTGCTTCATCCACCCCCCCAAATCAGCCATCAGCACAGGCTTCAGTAATACCACCAGGTTAAAAATAGGAAGTGCTAATCTTTATCCCTCAAACTTTTGTTATGCTGTCTCCAGAAAGGCAACAAGCGCTAATGTGATTGCCCCTTTTAATCAGCAGATGAGAGTCCACCTCCTCCCAACATCTCCTGCCTCCGCACGAACCTCCTCCTAGCAGTTAGGGTCCTCTCCTTGCTGCTGGAGTAAATCCTGATCATTGTGAGGGTCCACAAGCATAAACACTGTGACTGGTCACACCTGCACGTCAGTTCAGCCTAGCCTCAGTAACTTTGGGGTTGGGAGAGGCAGTTAAATCCCGAAAGAATCCATAGCAAAGCAGGAATTAACCTAGGAGACTGTTATTCTCAAGTTATGCTTCTAAATACAGCCCCCTTATTCCAGAATAGACTCAAGTCAAAACCATCATGTTGAAAATCGCTGCTTCTCCCCCCAGAACCAAATGTAGCACTCCCCAGCTAATAGTGTTATTACTGCATTTGAGTATTAAGGCGGAAGACTCTTGTGCAATATTTCAGTGACCACAGAACACACCAGAGGCTCCAGCACACATTCGGGACATTCAAACTCCCTGTGCAGACAGCAGCTCCAGCCAGGCACCCCACAGGCTTGGAGCAACAGTCCCGTTACTGCCTCTCTGACATCCGCAAGGCTGTAATTTAATTTTTGTTTTGCAGGTAAAAGATGAAAAAAACATACAGGAAACGTTCGACCTGAGTGATTATGAGAAATGTGAAGAGCTCAGGAAGTCCAAAAGCAGAAGCAAAAAGAACCACAGCAAATTTACCCTCGCCCACTCCAGACAGCCTGGAAACACGGTACGCTTTGCTCTCAAGCACGCAGTCAGATGAGAAAGCCACTAGCCCTTGGTGCAGGCCAGGCTGCCTCACAGTTGCCTGCTCCAGGCCTGAGGGCTTGGCACAGTAATTTTGGGGTGAAACTGGACAGGCTGAGTTGTGTAGGAGTCCAGATTGCATCTCTTAGTTTAAAATCTATGAACATGCACTTACCACATCAGGAGCGATAGTAACAGTGAGAGATGGAGAGAGAAGCAGTGTTTCTGTGGGGAGGGGACTTGGGCCCCTGGTGTACTGAGTAAATACGACCAAACACTGAGTTCTGGATCCATTTACCTGAGAGTATTCTGACTTTGGGAAAGGAAGAAATCAGAAAATTTGCCAGGAGCAAGGACAAAGCTGTTTTACTGCTGCCACTCCTGGCAGCTGTGGTTTAGCTGACGGCACTTGTTTATTCTCAGGGGGATGCAGGGAAGGGAGGGATGCTGATGGTCCTTGGGTTTGCTGCCTGGATTCAGGCAGCATCAAAAGAGCTGCACGGGGATTTGTCCTAGGAGTACTTTCTACCCAGAGGAAAGCTAAAAAGTGCCAGAATGAGGGCACCGCTACCTGGGAGCAGGGCTTCCCATGAGGTCTCAGTTGCCACTGCAAGAAGAGATCCAGTCTCTAACTACAAGCTGTCTCTGGCACGCACCCACCCACAGCCACACACGTGAGCTGGATTTACACTATCAATTCTGACTTGTTTCAGTAGACCAAGCTTGCCCGCCCCACGCTGATGAGGATTGTATAACACCATGAAATGTGAAAAAGGAAGGGAAAGGGAAAATGGAAAGTGGCTGCATGGTCCCCAGGCACCCTGAGCAACGGACAGAATAGAACAAAATGCTGTGAAGGCTAAAACTCATTTCTACTGAGTATCTAACTTAAAAAAACCCCTAAGGATCCTGGATCCTCTGTACATGCCACATTTTCAGAACTGCTCTGCCCTCAGTGTACATCTGACATATCAAAGTATGGAAAATCCGGCTCCTTCTGTGGGTACCTACTGTAGCTGCTTGTCTAACAGACTTTGTCAAAATCTGAGGTGGCAACAGATAAATCGCATGTGAGCAGCAGATGCACAGAAAGGCTGCATCATCATTTGATGAGGGCAAAATCTAGGATGGTGTGTGGGAAGGCAAAGAGGGGGAAGGAGGAACTGCAGCCACGAGGGAAGTAAATATGGTACACAGCTTTTGGTTTGAAAAGCTGAGTGCTGTGAGGAGCCATGGGCTGCTTTGCAGAGGGCTGGCAAGATGCGGAGAGGCCGGGTGCAGTGTGTGGCAGACCAGTGCCGCTTTGTAGGACTTGAGGATCAGGTCTGCTTTGTGTTTTCCCCCTAAGGCGAGCCAGCTGTAAAGGCTGTGTAGCTTTTCTGTGAGCAGGGACAGTGTGAAAGCATCTCTGTATGAGTTTAGTCACTGGCACTGACCTGAATTCCCTCTTTTGTAGGCACCAAATCTGATCTTCCTGGCTGTGAGTCCAGAAGAGAAAGAGTCCTGGATTAATGCCCTCAACTCTGCAATCACACGTGCTAAAAACCGCATCTTAGATGAGGTGAGCGGGATTCTGAGGGCTGGGCCCAGGTTCCGTTGTCTGGGTGAAGATTTTAGACTGCTGGAGACAGCAGCAGCCCCTCCTACCCTCTCCGTTTCCTATTTAAAAGGAGTGCAAAGCCATTGGGTTTTTATGGACCCCACTCAAACACAGCCACCAACACCTACAGAGTGAGCTCTTCTGAAAGTCTGGGACGGTTTGATCCTCCCAGCCGGGATTCATATACAGCACTGATGGACAGGAACGGCAAGGGGCAGCTGCCAGGCCCCTGTCCCCTCCCTGGCACACCCGGCCCCCGTGCGATGCCGCCCCTTTGGAGCCCTGCCTTGCCTCACACAGGGGTGGTGGGACTCTGTCTGGAATGGTTGCCCAGGGCTCTGGAGAGTCTTTCCTCCCATCCGCTGCTCCTGACTGAGCATGCAGTGTGCTCATGTTTGCGAAGGAGCTTTAAGTAGTGGGACTGAATTAAGGAATTAACTGAAAACTAATATAGTCCCACGTTATCTTCAGAGCACTCTAACAGCACGGCACCATCTGCCAGCCCACCTCAGTCCATCTTCATCCCGCCACCCCCTCCCCTCTCAGTCACCAGCTCCAAGAGAGATTTCCCTTTCCACTGCTTTGGCTGAAGGAAGGGGACTTACTGGGTATTCAAATTTTGCAGATGCTTTCCTACTGTTCAAGGGTCAAACCAGGAATGTTTAACCCTGCCTTCACAGCACTGTGTGGCATATATATTTCTGTCAAGACAAGTCAGGCTCTCCATTTAATGAAAAAAGAAGGGACAACCAGAGAGATGAGGCACTGTGGGACAGCAATGGGAGGACCCTGGATAGCCCTGCCTACTTGAGAACACGTTCACGCAAAGCGTCACTCGCATAGCTCCTGCCTCTTCCAAAGTGGCAGCATTATTGCTGCATGAAATTCCCAAAGTAACTACCACAATTATGCAAAGCAGCTTCTACTAGAAAAAAAGAACAAAGCAACATCAGTTCAGCCTCCTCCTGGAGACAAAAGTGTACACTTGCAACCACAGCTGAACTGACAGAGGCCAGGTTTAGATCAGTATGAGCATCCCCACATAGTTTACTCCAGTGTGAACGATGACTACCTTGAGAAGGCTGTGCCCCTCACTACCCGGGCGGCAGTTTGAAAGAGCATTTCAACGCTGTCTCACATTAATGCTTCATGACAACTATTCTTCAGTTTAGATCTGTCTCAGATCTATCTCATCCACATTCAACTTACGGCAGTACAGGCGGCCCACTGCTGTGACGCTGTTTGTTCTCTTGGATGGCAACACAAAACCCTGTAGTGAAGGAAAATGAAGGTCAGACTGTAGGAAAAGCTGTAGAGCAGAAAGCAGCATAGCAAACAATGGTATAGATTACTTCAAGGAGAGCCTGTCACTGAAATCTTTACAGATCCAACAGATAATTGTCAGGAATGACTTAAGTAGATCTGATCCCATCAAGACACAGAGGGGAGAGACTAGGGACACGCTCTAAGACTCTTCTAAGGCTGGATTCCCACCCCCCATTCCCTGCTGGCTCTATCTGCAAATCTGTGCATCCTTGTAAGCACACAGATCAGCGAGTCCCACCTGCAAGTTTTGAACCAGTGATGGCCCTTGGGACCAGTATGTTGCCGGCACTGTGCAGGCAGGTTTTACAAACCTCTGGGTCCGTGTGTGCCTGGGCACGCTCCCTAGGGAGGTTGTTACAGACAGTAGCCATCCAGCAAAACCAGATGCCATCCTGGCACAGGAATTGTCTTCCTCATTGCAGCTCAGCACTAGCTTTGGTTCAGGTGGCGATCACAGCTCTCCTGTTCAGCAAACAGTTGCGCTACAGAACTGCAAAGTCTGTGTTCGAGTTCAGGATTCACTGTTTGCAACCCAAGCTTCTGCCTGCTGAGCACTCCTGCCTGGCAGCCTTTAGCAAAGGATCTTGGCCCAGAGGTGTGTGGGAGAAGTTCACCTTCAGCGCACGGCCAGGTTGCAAGAGAAAGGGAATCCTGGAGGAATAAATCACCTGCCAGAGTGTCTGGCTGATTACAGCTACAGGAACTAGGAATGGCTCATATTTCCTAAGCTCCCAACGTTCACCAGCCTTTGTCACCCCTTTAGGTTACTGTCGAGGAGGACAGCTATCTCGCCCACCCAACACGAGACAGAGCAAAAATACAGCACTCCCGACGCCCTCCAACACGGGGACATTTGATGGCTGTGGTATGTATAACAAAATCCAGACACCTGCTTAGGTAAAACTCCCTTGTAACTATTTCATTTATAAGTAAATGCAAGAAAATCTGGCATTTGAGCTCTGGCCTAGAACTGAAAATTGCTGTAAGGCCCTGGGTTGTCCTGCATCATCAGATCTAGTCCTCCGGCCTTGCAGACCATTGCATTGTGCAAACCCTTTTGCAAAGCAGTAGCTTGCCATCACTGACATCCATTTTCCTGATGCTGCAAATGAATTGCTCCTTCAAGTTCCTGTTGGAGAAGAGTCACCCAGCTGGGGAACTCAGTCATGGGTTAGCAGAGATGGCCTGTCCAAGGCCATTCAGCTGACCTGATCCCAGCTAGAACCATGAACCCAGCATCTCTGGGGCTCTGTCACTAGGTCGCACCGGCTAGTATTCCCAGTCCGTCTTTGCATCCCAGCACAGGTGATGCCTATCTTCAGCATAAGAGACACTCAGAAGTAGTGTGCAGCCATGCCTGTTCCTGTGATAACACAGCTCTTCTCTGTCTGCTTCTTCAGGCATCTACCTCAACGTCTGATGGCATGCTGACACTCGACCTGATCCAGGAGGAAGACGCCTCTCCAGAGGATCACAGCACCTGCGAAGAGAGTTTCCGGGTGGATCTGGATAAGTCAGTGGCACATCTTACTGCTGGCCGACGCCGGTCGGATTCAGAGAACGTCAAGTCGTCAGAGAAAGGCCGGACAGGGAGCCTCCCAAGACGGGAGGTGACCTCATGGGACAGATCTGGGCAGCGCAATGATTCCTTTGACAAAGGGACCATGTACACACCACAGGTCCCCAAAAAGCTCTCACACTCGGAAAAGAATAAATGTGCCTCCATGGAAGAAATTCTGTCTCGACGGGACTCTTCCACGCACAGGGCGGTGCTGAGGAGGGGGCTGGAGGCTCAGTTTGCCTCAGCAGAACCAGAGCAGCTGTCCCGGATACAAGAACTGGTTGCACTGAAACTGGAAAAAACTCAGGAACTGCTGACAGAGGTAAAGGGCTACGGGGAAGGCAAGAGAAAGACCAAGGATTCCAACACCAGCACCACCACCACCACCTCTTCTTCCTCATCATCTTCCAAGTTGGACTCTGAAAGGATCCTGCAGGAATCTGAGAGGTTGCTGGGGGAGGCTTCCTCCACCTGGAGCCAAGCCAAGAGGGTGCTGCAGGAGATCAAAGAGTTGAGGGACCTGTACAAACAGTTTGAACTGCAGCAGTCAGACTCAAAACCCAAACAGATCTCACAGTCTCAGTACAGGAAGAGCATGATGTGAAGGCAAGCCTTGGGATTGGGAGGGAGGGACAGGGGAAGGCGGCCATTTGGTCTTTTTTTTAATTATTATTATTTACAGTGTTCAAAAGAGTGAAAAGGTGCCTGTTCTCATCCAAATTTGCTTCTCAGAGCTTGAACCGTTCCTTTCCTCCATCACATCCCCTGATGAAACAACCCTGTGTTCCAATAAATTCAGTTACAGTTTATACCTCCTTTTTTAAAGAGCACCCTTTGCACCACAGGCCCCCAACTTCTGTCATGCTTGGAGGATGGAAGAAAGCACCAGTTCCTAGAAAATGCCCCTGCATGCCTGGAGCAGCACGTGCATAACAATGGGGACAGATGCTCTTGCGCTGTATAAGCCCTGGCTTTGCTGCTCTAACGTCTGAGCTGTATCCTGCAGTACAGCTCCTTGTCCAAGAGTCTCGTCTTGTTCCCTCACTGTCCTCTTGGAAATAAATGACAAAAAAAAGGCGTCCGTCCCAGCCAAAGCTTGGAAGTCCCCATTATCCAGGAACTGTTCTTGAAGATGCTTGCAAATTCAGGCTGACCTCAAGTTTTACGCGAGTCATCAGAGGCGCTCGCTGGACTGCAGCTAGCGGGGTTCTGTCCTGGCACAGGTCCCTTTTGTGAACTCTTGGGGTCGGCAGCTGTTATTCTTGTGGTACATATACAGCCCTCCAGAAGGAGGGCAACAGGTATGCAATCTGTGTTCAAACTAATCCCGTCTGTCCGTTGATGCTTTACAGAACCCCCTTGGCCCTGTGCAATGGGAGTTAGCAGTTATATGTCTTCCTTTCTGTGCAAATAGAGGATCAAAGCCTTGAATCTAACAGACAGCCCAGATGGGTTGTTTGGAGGGGGGGTTGTTTTCTGGCTTTTCCATTTTCATTTCATTCTTTTTTTTTTTTTCCCTTTTCTTTGAGCTGAGGGGAAATGGAAAAATCAGGGTTGTGTACAGGCGGCAGCCGGAAACCAAGAGCCAAAAGCAGTTTTGGTAGGTTTGATTCTGCTCTCTCATGCATGCACAGGCTCCGTTTCTGCCAGTCAGACTGCAACAGATAGTCCTTGTTGCTCCCCTAAGATCAGAATCAGGCCTACTGAAATGAAAGCTGAGCCTGTACGAGAGCTCAAATACCCTCATCTTGGTGATGCCAAGCACTTTGCTAAATAGGTGGCTCAGTTTTCACGCCTTTGAGCAGAAAGGCAAGAAAGGAGGATGTTAAGATGTCTCACAGGGCTTAAAGTACACCAATGTGGTAACATCCAACTGTTACTTTTTTTTTAAAAAGGAAACCTACTTCCCTTACCTACATTGCAAATAATCCATGAAAATATTAAAACCAACAGAGTTATTTCCTGGTTGCAGTTGGTGTTGTCTATTTTCTGTGAATGGTTGACCTCCCTTGGAAAGGAGATTGGTTACTTTCACTTGGGTCTGGCCAGCGTTACTATTCAGGCTCATGTTGCAGATGTATAGTTGTCAGCGCTGCAAAGCAAGCATTTCTGCCTTTCCTTCTCCCACTTTCCTGTTAGAATTACTGGTAGAATTATTACTGGTGGCACAAGATTCCTGAAGATTTTAGTATTTACAAACTTCAGATCTGGCCCTTGCAACAATCTTTTACTTGTTTCTGACTCTAGCACAGCTCTTTGCCTACTCTTAAAGGACAGTTTTGAAAAGGCATCACTCGTTCACCTAAGCTCTTGTCACAGAGCTGCATGCTACAACTGTCCAGGGATGTACATGTCACCTTTCCAGCATTTTTGTTCTTTTTTCTTACCTTTTCTGTCACTTGAGGGATCTGTTTGGATGCATCAGAGGGAAAAACATAATCCCTAAAAGAGATTTCAAAAGCATGCATGTCAGCCACTCTGATAAAACCCTCCCCATTCAGGTCTTTGATCGCGAGAACAAGAAAAAATATGCAAATATTTTCCAGATGTGACATTCAGCATTAAAATTAGACTTGTTTTCAAAATAAGAAAGCTAGTCTAAAAACCCGGAGGTCTGAACTGCACTCTGCTGGGATGGATGTGTGTTGTGACTGGCCTACTGGACTGATGTCAAAATGTAAGCATGAAAATACACCTGATCCTGACTGTACAGGGGTCATTAAACGCTCTCATGTCTTTCTTAAGCAACAAGGTAATCTAAAAAATTGGCTGATTAACAGCATCAAAACAGTGCTAGAGGCAGGGATGAAACATTGAGCGGTCACCCCAAACCAGTGACTTTTTTTGTTAGGTAACCAAGGGCATCTTTATTTCACTGCTGCCTCCTCAGGGTTATGGAACTGCATCACATCTGATGAGGCCTGGACGCAGCGTTGTTGCCTGGGTCTCTGCTGTCCAGAGAAGAGAGATGCACTACACACTTGTCAGAGCTGGGCAGAAATACTGGACCATTTCTGCTCTTCAGACCAGCCTGTGCAAACCTTTTTATTTTGTAACGAGAACAAAATTTGGAGGAAATGATGGAGCTTATTTAGGAAGTTAGGAAGAAACTCCTTCCAACCGGGGCAGAACTGCAGTTCTCATCCTGCCAAAACCCTGGAGGCAATTTCCTACTTCCAGTCTGCAAACCTAAAAGGCCGAGTGCGATGCAGCTCTAGATGCAGCATTTCCATCTGGAGAGCAGAGTGCTGCCTGGTCCTGAGCCACGGCACAGCAGTAGGAGCAGCAGCTTTTCTGCTCCCAGTGCTCTGTTCTTGCCCTAGAAGATGTCCAGCTCTCGTGTCTCACCCCCGGCTCTTCTCCTCCCCTCCATGAGGAACAGAGTGTGTCAGGCTAGCACGAGTACGACAGGTGATTTAGGACAATTTTTCAGACTGCACAATGCAAGATCCCAGATCCATACATTGGTTTCTCTCTCCTCTCTCCTCCCCCTCTCTCCTCCTCCTTTCCCAGCTCATCACTGCTGAGTAGGATCTTGTGAAGATTTACTATTTCTAAAATTGATTGGAAACTTTCTTTCAGAATATGTTCCCTTTTAGAAAGCATCATTTCTGACGGGGCCCAGGGAAAAGGAGTAACTTAGGAAGAAAAAAAAAACATGAGTTTTCAGAGTAGAAAACGTATATTTTTCACTTGGGAATATTTTTGTATTACACAGAATGTGAATTTTTCCTTAAAAATCTCTCCAAGTTAAAATAAAGCATTTTGTTTTACCAACCACCCCCCTTCAAGAAGCCTGACAGTTTTTCCCACAGGCAATTTTTACATTGTTTTCATTCAAAACAAAATTAAACTCAAATTGTGGAATTCTTCACAAGGCAGAAATGCCAGGCTCCAAGCGGGTCTGATTACCAAGCTGTGAAAACTTCAACCCTGGGCTCAGGCTCCGTGCTGCCGAGCACTGTGTGTTCCTGGGGCATGGCTGAGAGACCCAGTCACGCGCCAGAGCCAGGGCAAGGGGTTCTGGGTCTTATTAGATGCTTCACAAGAATTTCTATAAACTCATCCCTACATTAGGAGCCTCTCACTCCAGACACTGCACAAATTGAAAGGATTGAAATCTCTCTCTCTCCTCTTCTCCCACATGGGCTATAATTCTGCCCTGTTTTTAGTCTTTTTTTTATTTATTTTAAATTTTGCAAAGTTCTCCCCTCTGTCAATCCCGCTTCTGGGATTAGAGACAAAAAGCCAATTATGAGCAAGAATGGCATGTGTATGGAAAACATGCCTGTCATGTTAGTGCTGCTGTTTCTTCCCTTCTGGAGCGCAGCTTCCCGAGAGGAGAACCGACGGGGAAGCTGTGGCTGGGACTGCCAGCGGGGAACCTTCCCGAGGGCAGGGAGAAGTGGGTTGAGCCTGTTTCCTCCCACCCAGTGGGTGCAGTGCATTGATAGCTCACAGTTAGCGACAGTTTATTCGCTGTTTAGCCATATAAACGGCTGTGGAAGGCACTGAGCACACAGTGATTCTCACCCTTATATTCTCTTACTGAACCACATTCGAAAGGACTAAGTAGAAATCTTGCTTTTTTTCAAAAAAACCCTACAAACTGCAATAATAAAAATGATTCAGCCGTAATTGCAGTGATTCTCTGTAGTCTCTTCTCAGCACGCCTACGCTGAGGAAGCCGTTCCCACCAGGGAGGGTGGGCTGCAGTGGGAACCCCCTTCCAGCCCAGCCCGCTACTGCCCCGGGGGGTCCTTGCACAAGGGGATGGGGAGGAATTTATGATACTGCGATAAAAAGGGATCTTCCTTGTGAATGGATTTGCAGGCCGTGTACTGCAAGGCCTCTAAGTCATCAAAGGAAGGGAATTGTCCTTGAATTGCCACTGGAACCTTTGAAAAGGATTCCGGCAGAGTTTTGGAGAGTCATGAGGGTTCAGGAGCCTGCTTGAGTTTTCTCATGCAAACCACTCAAATGGAAAACATGCCTGGACACTGAAGTGCTTCACAACGGCCGAGAACGAGGGTTTGCTGTTCTCTAAGGCCCAGCCTGTGGCTGCTTCCTCCCCAACGCCTTGGACAAGCCAGATGGTCCCAAGGCAGCAGCTCACCCTCACTTCCACCACAGCCCAGAAAATCAAGCACAGAACATTCGAGCTTGGGTCCAGCAGGCTGAGGAAGACTGTGCTTTGCAACCCGAGACAACCTCCCAGTCGTCTCCAAGACATGAAGCCCAAGTGCTGTAATGGTAAGCTCAGCTTCCGAACTCTCTGGGAGCGTTGCTGTTCTTCTCAAAAAGCCCCTCAGAATTGCTCTGGGGACAGGGCAGCAATTTTTCAGGAAGATCAGTTGTTAACATGTGAATAAAACGGAGGTGAAAATGGAGAGTTTCTTTATACCTGGTCTCTACACAACAGGATGAAGTAGAGAGTCCACCTGGAAGCTGTATTTTGCTTTCATGCCTGCCTGGTGCTTAAACCTTTCCCTCCTGTCTCCTTTCCTCTTGCTGCACCTGCCCTGGCCCCTCCGCAGAGGAAGCGTCCCCATGGACAGCCGTGTCTGCCTGCGCCCGCGGGCACCCTTCACCTGGCTGCACCACAGCACTCAGCCGGTGGCTATGCCCAGAATAAATCAGGAGGCGTGGTGGCTCAGCAGGCACACCCGCTGTGAGCCTGCGCCTGGGCTGCTTCGCAGCACAGCAAGTTAAAATTTGCCAGGGGAACGAGCAGTGTCAAACGCGGGCAAATCGTTTTTATAAAAGCGGTTCAAGAATTTGAAGAGCAAAATCCCTTTCTGCTTCATGCACCGCATGCCTGAGCCTGGAGGGAATCTCAAAGCTGAAGAGAGCCTGTCCTCCAAGGACTGCACTTGGCACGACCCCGCGAAGGGCAGGCAGATGGCCCTGGCCCTGCTGAGCGCAGCACTGCAGCAGCCACGGGAGCCGCCAGGCTGGCTCTCAAGGGAACAAGCATCTGCGATAGGGAGGGGGGTCACGGCTTACCGACCGAGTCTATTTGCAGCACCCATGTTTGGTATCATTGAAAAGACGAGAATGAAAAGCCTCAATTCCCTGTATATTGAAGAGCTGACACATAAATCAGAGCGAGCTGAATGCTTGAAGTAGTTGGTGCAAGAAAAGCTATAACTGTAAAATAGGAATTGGTATCATAGAAGTGCTGACTGTGGTTTGACTTCTCTGTGTGCCTGGGGGAGGCGGGGGCTGCGCTGTCTGCCTAAAACAGAAGTCAGGGATTAAGGTGTTGAGCTGTGTAGGGAATTGAAACTCCCTTTCACAAAGGAAATTTCCAGACTGCTTTTATTCCAGAAAATCACTCCCAGTTTCTCCTTCAGGGACATTTCCAAAAGCCTTTCATTTTGATTTCTGACTTTCTTCCCTTTCAGCTGTCATCTACAGTATCATGCAAACGTTTACAATGAAAAACATTAACATGAAATGGCAAATTCACTCGGAGCACTCAGCACGTGTGCGCTCTCAGAACTGCTCCCTTCCTCCTCCTCAGTCTCCCCTGTGAAATCCACCAGCTGAGCAGCACATCTGGGCCTCAGAGGAGCCCTGGATTCTCCTGGGACCGGTGAAAAGGAAGACAACTGCCTGTTTGCTCCTCTCCTTCACGCTCTCCATCATTTCTATCTCAGTTTGCATTTGCAGTTCAGCAGCTCCTGGTTTCCAAAGCTGCGCCGGTCTCATTCTCTGCTCAGAAGGTGATGGGAGAGCAGGAACCGTGTGATAAACCAGGGGCTCTCCGCGTAGCTGCAAGGTGCCTGTCGAGGTCAGGTGTTGTTGCACACTCTGTACAACCCCTGCACACACACACACCCCCACGACCTTGACCTCCTCCCTGAGCTATCTGTCTGGCATCAGACAAGCAGACGGAGCAAGGTTCTGCCGTGCAGAGAGATGGCCAGGTCTTGAAGGCAGAGGGATCGCACGCCCTGCTCGGCAGCCTGGCACACCGCTGGGTTAGGCAGCTCCCAGGCCCAGGGCAGTTCAGAGACACACGGGGCTAGTTCAGAGAAACAACTGGAACGCCAGACACGCTCGTTGGGACAGAGCCACAGGACCTTCGCTACCTGCCAGTTCAGAGTGCACCTAGATGACAGAAGCTGGGCAACCCTGGCATCAGTGCTGTCATTGTGTCCCGTGTTCAAGTGCTCAGGGTCTGGAGAAAGAGTTGGGGATTCTTCAGTTGAGTAACAACTTCATTTTGGCTTTGTGCCGGAGGGTTTCACTCAGCACAGAGCGCAGCACAGAGTGGAAGCTGTTTCCTGAAGCACCCCTGCCACATACTTGTTTCTCAGGTGTTAAAACTTCGAGCATTATTTAAGACTTTTGCTAAATCCCCCTCCCCAAATCTTTCTTTCTGTATAGCTGTAATGTACTAAGGAATATGCCCATGATCCAGCTGTGGAATATTTTTTTAATTTAAAATTTAAAAGCTTGTACCGACTTACCTGCTTTTTCAATAGGAAACAACTTTCCCTCATTCCCCTGTAGGGAACCAGTTCACAGCTCCCCTGACCCACCAAAAAAATTACAGAAAGCCCCCTGAAGGAAAATTTCCTCTCAAGGTGTAAGTGGCAGAGACTCACTGAAGGACGGGGCGGCCACAGCCCCTAATTAGAGACTCTCAGCAGAGCTCTGCTCCCAGGGATTTGCATCACAATTTCCCCCCTGCCTGCTTATACACTGTCCAGCCC